GGTGGGATGTACTTATCTATTGTGATGCGATGAATTCCAAAATAAATTTATACTTGTAATTTGTAAATGATTTATTAATTATTAATAAAGAATTTATTTTTATAATTTTTTATTTGTAATTTATGTCATTTTAAAAAAAATTAAAAAACCCGGCCCGGCCCGGGGTACCGGGTCCGGGCTCCGGTTTTGCCCGGCTTGGGCCCGGATTTCCGGGCCGGGCCGGGCCGGGCCGGCCCGGATGGACAGGCCTACTCACATGGCCTAAGATTTCATTTTTGTTTCTTCTCTATACACTATTCATCTATCTTACAACTATGTGACTTTTCTCCGTGGTCTAGATCTCATCTCCGGTTTTGCCCGGCTTGGGCCCGGATTTCCGGGCCGGGCCGGGCCGGGCCGGCCCGGATGGACAGGCCTACTCACATGGCCTAAGATTTCATTTTTGTTTCTTCTCTATACACTATTCATCTATCTTACAACTATGTGACTTTTCTCCGTGGTCTAGATCTCATCACCTTGGACATGATGAATATATAACTCTATTATAGAGTTTTATTCATCTACAAAGATAATGTTGTTAACCTTCATGAAACGTAATAAAATCTGTTCTAAGAGATCAAATATCGAGATAAATATTCTTCCGACCCTCCCGAGGCACCGTGCGTGGTGTCTATTCTGTGTACAAAATTCTGTTTCGCTATATATATATATATATATCTCTTCATCTGAATCAGACTTAGACGCAGCCGTAACAATAGACATCCTTAATTGGAAGTGATTATGATAAGATAAGGATAAATTGTATAAAACGTCCTCGTCGTAGGCGAGAATCTTTCCATACTGTAATCAACATTAAATAGTAAATACTTAATTAATAAGCACCAGCCACGTGAGTCTGAATTGAAATCATTACGTATTACAAGAACTAACCATGCTTAATTAATTAAACAAAAACTAACCGCATACTTTTTTTTTTCAATTACACAGCCTGCAATCGGACGCAAGACCGTGGCATCATATCGGAACTTTCCAACGGTCTGGATCACCTTTCGTAGATAAAGCCTAACCATACTTAAAAACAGATTATTTTCCTAGATTATAGAGAAAGTGTAAAATTATATATGGTTTGCGCTTAGTTGAACGAGGCACTTTGGCCATTTAAAATTAGGTATTTGAGCTGGGTGCTACTTCTACTATTATACAAGAAAATAAACATATAAAATCTGGAATTGTAAAACTTTCGCAATGAAGTAATTTTAGTGAGATATTAAAATAGAGCTATACTCATCAAATAAAAAAATTATATAAAATATAGACTGTATGAAACAAAAACTTCAATACTCAATCCGTTATGTGAAAACTCATCAATTTAATTTGATTCCCCAGAAAGAAAGCAATCAACTTAGGGATTTTAGTGGATTATATATCAATCCATTAAGGAGTTTAAAGTTTTGATAAAACCACTTCGTGAGTATATATCACTTTTGCAAACTTTGGTTGAAAGCAACGGCGGATCTAGTGTAAACAAGGTAGTTAGCCCAATCGAATAGGCATGTAAATCATAGCATGATTGTAGGGATTGTAAACAAGGTAGTTAGCAATCCTATAGGCATGTAAATCATGGCATAGCTTGATTGTAGGGATTGGGCTGTTATATAGGATCTGATTGTTAGGATTTGTTGTAATCCCTACCTTGTACAAATTGTCTATATAAAGAGAATGAAACCCACGGGGAAATTGTGAAGGCAAATTCAATTTATTATCTTGGTATCAGAGCCTTTCCAATCTCCCCTCTCCATCACCATGACGGGTTCCAGCGCCTCACAAATCTCCGGCATCCTGGCTTCCTCCCCGAGCGACTCTACCATATCTTCTTTCATCAAGTCTTCCACCATCGCTACTGCTATCACTTGCAAACTAACGCGCACCAATTTCTTGCTTTGGAAGGCGCAAGTCGTTCCCATCTTACGGGGTGTCCAGCTCTTTGGATACCTCGATGGCACTACACCGATGCCCGTCGCCATGGTGACTGAGGGAACCGACACCGATGCAAGGCAGGTCTTGAATCCTGCCCGTGCTACCTGGATCGTCCAGGATCAGGCCATTCTTGGTGGCCTCCTGTCCTCAATGACAGAGGACGTTCTGCCTCAACTCATCCGTCAGATCGACACGTCCGGCCAGTTGTGGGCATCACTCCACACCATGTTCTCCGCTCAGCACCGCGGGAACTCAATCCAGATCCGCGCGCAGCTCTCGAACACGAGAAAGGGCGACATGAGCGCAGCAGAGTATTATCAGAAGATGACGGGACTCGCTGATACTATGGCGCACATTGGACGTCCCATGTCCGATGAAGAGGTGATCGGCTACATACTCGCCGGTCTGGGGCCGGGCCATAGTGATCTCTTCACCGCCATCACTGTGCTGAGCAATCAGCGTGCGGTGACTCTTCCGGAGTTCTACTCCTATCTGATTTCTCATGAGACCCAAGCCACGCTGATGAGCGGCACGGCGGAGTTCACGTCATCCGCCAACAACGTCACGCGCCAGGAATCCAACGCTCCTCGTCGCAACAACAGCAACAACGGCTACACCACCACCAACAACAACCATAGGAATAACTACCGCAACGGCGGTGGTGGTCGCGGACGAGGCCGCGGCCGTGGCAGGAACAATGGTGGCCCTCGCTGCCAAGTGTGTGGCATCCCAGGCCACATTGCGTTGAACTGTCGCAACAGGTTCAATCACTCCTATCAGCCAGATGAATATCGTGGTGGAAACAGTGCGACCACGGGAGGCTACAACGGTGACACAAACTGGTATATTGATACTGGTGCTACGGATCATCTTACGAGTGATCTAGATCGGCTGTCCATCCAGGAGCGCTACCATGGCAAGGATCAGGTGCAAGTGGCCAACGGAGCAGGTTTGCATATTTCCCATATTGGTCATTCTACAATTTCCGGTTTAGATCGTCCTCTTGCTCTTAAAAATATCCTTCGTGTTCCTCATATCAATAAGCATCTCCTCTCTGTTCATAAACTTGTTTCTGATAATGATGTCTTCATTGAATTTCATGCTGATGCTTTCTTTGTTAAGGACAAGGCCACGAAGAAAACGCTTCTACGCGGTAGGAGCAGAGGAGGTCTTTATCCAGTGCCGTCCAGCCGCTCCTCTTCCACCACTTCCCATCATGCATCGTCCAGTGTCAAGGTGTCGTCATCGCAATGGCATCAGCGTCTTGGTCATCCTACTTCCACAATTGTTAGGTCCATCTTGAAGTTAAATAAATTAGACTGTTCTTTTGATTATGAGTCCTCTGTGTGTGATGCATGTCAGCGTGCAAAGAGTCATCAACTCCCCTATAATAATTCTGTTCGTGTCACCACATCTCCACTTGAGCTTATTCACTCCGATGTTTGGGGGCCAGCTCAAGCATCTACTGGAGGTTTTAAGTATTATGTAAGTTTTGTGGATGATTACAGTCGTTATACTTGGATCTATCTTATTAAGAATAAATCTGATGTTGAACAAATCTTTTATAATTTCCAAAAACATGTTGAGCGACTTTTGAATTCCAAAATCCGCACTGTTCAATCTGATTGGGGTGGTGAGTATCACAGGCTTAATAAATATTTCCAGAGTTCAGGTATTTTGCACCGTGTTTCGTGCCCCCATACATCACAACAAAACGGAGTGGCCGAGCGAAAGCATCGTCACATCGTTGAAACAGGCTTGGCTCTCCTTGCGCACTCCTCCCTTCCTCTTCGGTTTTGGGATGAGGCTTTCTTGATAGCTTGTTATCTCATCAATCGCATGCCCAGTCGTACTCTAAACAACTCTACACCCATCACACGCCTCCTCAACATAACACCTGATTACTTTTTTCTTCGCATTTTTGGCTGTGCATGCTGGCCAAGTCTTCGCAAATATAACTCTCATAAGCTTGACTTCCGATCCAAACTATGCGTCTTCTTAGGGTATAGTGCCATGCACAAGGGGTATAAGTGCTTGGACAAAAGTACTGGACGGATCTACATATCACGTGATGTGATCTTTGATGAATCACATTTTCCGTTTGCTACCTCACCTTGTTCAGTCGCACCATCTTCTTTGTCCAGTGCTGTTTCCTTTCCTCAGTCTGAACCGGTAATTGTAAATGATCATATGCGAAATTATGACTTATCGCTCTTGTTGTCTAACACCTCAAATGCAGCTGCAGCTCCACCACCACCGGCGCTCATACCCACGCCTGTGATTCACGTCCCGGGCACATGCAGCCTTGGGCCTGTTACACCTGGACCTGCTACACCGCCTCCCGGTCCAGAATCTTCGCTGCCTCCGCCTCGCGTCGATGCTGCACCATCTCCTGCATCTGGGCCTCAACTGGCCCAAGAACCCGACAACCTTGTGCCCACGTTGCCTCCGCCTCGCATCGATGCTGCACCACCTCCTGCACCTAGGCCTCAACTGGCCCAAGAACCCGGCAACCTTGTGCCCGGGCCTGCTGTTGCGAGCGATGTTGCTATCCCAACTGATCCTGTTCAGTCTCCACATGGTGTCACTACACGTGGTCGTGCCGGAAAATCGTTTCCCAAGCAGCTCACCGACGGAACAGTTCGGTATGATCCGAACAGACGTGCTTTCTTCGCCGAGCCCACCTCACATCGACTGGCTCTCGCTGAGCCTGTTTGGCGCACTGCCATGGAAGCCGAGTTTGAAGCACTTCAGAAGAACAACACGTGGGCTCTCGTTCCCCGGCCGGCTGGTGTTAATATAGTCGGATGTAAATGGGTGTTCAAACTTAAGCAGCACCCGGATGGCTCTATTGATAAGCACAAGGCGAGGCTAGTTGCACGAGGTTTTACTCAGCGATATGGCGTTGACTATCAGGATACTTTCAGTCCGGTTGTGAAGCCTGCAACGGTTCGCTTGATTCTTGCCCTAGCTTTGTCACGAGGATGGCAACTCTGACAGATTGATGTAAGCAACGCTTTTCTTCATGGCTTCTTGGATGAGGAAGTTTATATGCAGCAACCCCCTGGCTTCGAGGATTCCCGTCGGCCTCATTATGTGTGCAAACTCCAAAAGGCGCTCTACGGCCTAAAACAGTCGCCTCGTGCCTGGTTTTCACGACTTAGCGACAGATTATTCCAGCTTGGTTTTCAGTCTTCCAAGGCCGACACCTCTCTTTTCCTGTTTCATCATGGGGGCGTCACTATCTACATGCTTGTGTACGTGGATGACATCGTGGTTGCTGGCTCTTCTCAATCAGCAGTTGATCAGTTGCTGCGCGCCCTGTCTTCCTCATTTCCGATCAAAGATCTTGGACAGCTGCACTATTTTCTAGGGATTGAAGTCGTCTACAATTCAGGGGGAATCACCTTGATGCAGCACAAATATGCTTCTGACCTTCTTCACCGAGCTCACATGGAGAATTGTAAGAGCGTTTCAACCCCCATGTCTGTCACAGATAAGCTTGCTCGTGATTGTGGAACAGTGCTGGATGATGATGATGCTTTCAAATATCGAAGCATGGTAGGAGGTTTGCAATATCTTACATTAACAAGGCCAGATATTTCTTTTGCCGTTAATAAGGTATGTCAATATCTTTCCAAGCCCACTGATGTACATTGGGAGGCAGTCAAACGTATCTTAAGATATGTCAAGGGAACAGCTGCTACGGGACTTTACCTCCGGCGCTCCAACTCTACACTTCTGAGTGTGTTTACAGATGCCGATTGGGCTGGCTGCATGGATGATCGCAGGTCTACTGGAGGTTTTGCAGTATTTCTAGGTCCCAACCTGATTTCATGGAGCTCACGCAAGCAACCCACAGTATCTCGGTCCAGCACTGAAGCTGAGTACAAGGCCTTGGCTAATGGGACAGCTGAAGCAACATGGGTACAATCCTTGCTGAAAGAATTGGATGTGTGTCAGCCGCGACCACCAGTATTATGGTGTGATAACCTTGGAGCTACCTATTTAACAGCAAATCCAGTGTTTCATGCACGAACGAAGCACATAGAGGTGGATTTCCATTTTGTCAGGGAGAAGGTTGCATTGGGCACTCTTGATGTCCGATTTGTATCTTCCAAAGATCAGGTAGCTGATGGATTCACCAAGCCAGCCACTCGCTACATGCTTGATCGCCTACGACACAATCTGAACCTTGTCATGGTTAAGATTGAGGGGGAATGTAAACAAGGTAGTTAGCCCAATCGAATAGGCATGTAAATCATAGCATGATTGTAGGGATTGTAAACAAGGTAGTTAGCAATCCTATAGGCATGTAAATCATGGCATAGCTTGATTGTAGGGATTGGGCTGTTATATAGGATCTGATTGTTAGGATTTGTTGTAATCCCTACCTTGTACAAATTGTCTATATAAAGAGAATGAAACCCACGGGGAAATTGTGAAGGCAAATTCAATTTATTATCTTCTAGAAACTTTAGTCACTGGAGGCAAGACTACAGGCAAAACTAATATGTGATATTTATACCTAAAATATTATGACACCAAAACCAAATATGCATTTACATTATATGTACAAACAAAATATAGCCAATAGTAGTGTTATATTAGAATTCTTTATAACAGTTCCTGCCGCATTTTCATATTTTTCTATTAAACAATAGTGTATGAGGAAGTACAATCCTTGGTATTGAGGACAGTACAGCAGTCCAGCAAGAGGAGGGCCTGTGGTTAGGAGGAGGAATTGATACCAGACTAATTGACAATCGTCGCAAGCAGAACGAAGGCAGAGTGGAGGAATTTTAGAAGAATTTGGTAGAAATTACAATGGTTACTAGTGATAGGGTAACAAAAATTGGGTAAACGGATTGGGCTGCTTGTCCCATTAGCATTTAGTTTCATAGATATGATGCGTTGGTTCAATAGGCTCAAATAAAAAATCTTAGATCAAATACTCAATACGGTTTTGTGGGGGTCACTGAGGGCAATTGACCCCATTGCCTCCACTGCAAATTTGCCAATGGTTGAAAGTGTTAACTCAATTTCCCAACAGAAATCTGCTCATGCTTGAATAAAGAGATATAAATTAAGAGGTTGTTTGGAGGGGCTTATTTTTAGAAGCTTTTAAGCTATATTAGCTTTTGGTGGCTTTTGGCTTCCATAATAAAAATTTATAAAAATTATTTGGGTAGAATAGTAATTTGTTTGGTCAAATCTAATTTATTTAGGTGAGCTTATAAGCTAGTTTTTCAAAAGTTATGGTATATTAGCTTTTCAACATAGGACTTATAGGCTAACTTATTTGATATTTTACTAAACATGAGGTTATGAACAAGTTAGCTTATAAATTAGTTTGACTAAAAATAAGCTTCCCGAAACACCCTGTACGTTATTCCAGAATTTCCAACTATATATGAATGGTTGTCAACTAATGTTACCGAGTGCGCATTCTGTAAGTGTACTATATCACTTATCTCTCATTGTATTGCTTGAAACAATGATTAAAAATCAAAAGCTATAAAAAATAGTAGGGAAGATAGCAAAAGATAAGTTAGTAGTTATATAAAAATGTGTAGTTCCCTAAGGGGCGGTCTGATGGTACATTTTAACGGGCGATTTTCTTCCTGCTAACGTGCACCTTCGCCTAGATTTGAATGGCGAAGAAGAAGAAGAATGGTAGCAAGATAATCCTTAATAGTGAGTTGAGAGATTCAATATTTGACTATCCCTCCTCGGCTAGTGTTGGAGCTTCTTTATCTAGTGCTGGAGTTGAATCGGATGGAACTGGAAACTCTTTGATCTCTCAAGAGATGGAGAGTACAGGGCCAAAGGGAGCAAAGAGGAAGATGCAGATGGATAAAATCCTTGCAAAAACGAATCCATTAACAGATCCGCCTCTGCCAGATGAACTCTAGTCTTCGGATTACTCGTCAGTTAAGTAAATCCTCTCATTTTATTGTATGGGCTGATGATGTAGAGGAAAGTGTTGAATCTGATCTAGTAAAAAATGCTTATCTAGATGATGGTAATGATGAGATCTGCACGCACTCCTTTTGTTGCTCAAAATATGATTTCGAGTGTGAAAATTTATAATCCCAATTTTGAAGAAGTTATTAATGAAAAATCAAATGAAGTAGCTCGTGAAGAGGATATGAATCTGGAAAATAATAAGCAAGAATTAAATAAATCATTTGTTACTCTATTTGCTGATAATAGAAGATTTGGGAATGGTTTATCATTAAATTTTGTTCCATGTTTCCAAACTCATATTGTTACATTCAATGAGGAAGAATGGAGAAAAGGTGGATGTTTCTGGAAATTTGCTTTGGTAGGCCATGTAATTGGATTGAATGTCAAATACAAATTTATGGAGTCATATATTACTAAGCTATGGGGTAAAATCTCAATACTGAAGGTCTCCTTAATTAAACAAGGGGTTTTCTTGTTTGAATTTCAACCTGAGAAGCAAATGATGGAGATTCTTGAAGATGGTCCTGGTTCTTTGGGCCTAGGCCACTTGTAATTAAACCATAGACTATAGACACAAATATTGAGAGAATCCAGGATCAAACCTATCCTATTTGGGCTCAGTTTCTTAATTTGCATCTGAATATATGGAGTCCTATTAGTATTAGTAAGATTGCAAGTTTAATTGGTTGCCTCATTACCACTGATAAACTCACTACCACTAGACAAAGATTGAGCTATGCTAGAGTGTTATTGGAAGTGAAGCTGCCTCTAAAAGATCCACTACCAGATCAAATTATAATACAAGGTCCTGATGGTAAGAGCTATAGTCAAAAAGTTATGTAGAGTTCAAACCAAGATGATACTCCTTATGTAAAATTGTGTGGCATGAATCTCAACAATGTAGGAAACATGCCACAAAAAAGTTTGGGTACCTATTGTAGGATCTGAAATAGATACACTAGAACACTAGAGGGAGGGTGAATAGTGTTTTTAAGATTTATGTAAAGTAGGTTATAAATTGCAAAGAAAGAATGGAAACAATCTTAGAAAATCACAATCACAAACAAGAGTTTTTATACTGGTTCCACTAATCCGGTGTACATCCAGCCCCCAAGCAAATCCCGCTTGAGATTTTCACTATAATTTTGAACCAAGTACAAAATTAAAACCAAACCTGACCAATTTGCAAGTCCATGTAAATTACAACACCAATTAACAGCCCCTTGTCAATTGCACACTGATCTCTAGACTAAGAGATCAACCTCTCTCACACCGAGAGAATTTTTCTTGAATCAAACAACTCAATTCCTATAAGCCTTAATTTGAAGTGTTGTGTAGCAGTGGCTTAGGAATAGTTTTAACCTCTGAAAATTACCTAAATAATATGTATTTTGATGATAATCAAAGGCAATTTTAGAGAAAAATCTTTTTCTTAATACTCAGCAAAATCTGAATGTTTTTCACTCTTGAACAATGCACAAAGATTGAAGCTTATAGGTATATAATGATGTGCCATTTTTCTGAACTTATAACCTTTATATATCCCTTGAAAAGACAAATTTTAAACTTTAAAACATTTAAAAAAATGGCTAAAAACTGTCACAAGTTTAAACTTAAATGTTCAAAAAAACTGTCTTAGTAGTCAACTATAATGGTTAGTAATCGACTACTCTGTAATACAAAAAGTCTGGAATTTAGAAACTGAAGCTTAGTAGTCAACTATTCTTCTTAGTAGTCGACTACTCTGTATTACAGAATATCTGGAAAATAAAAATCAAAGATCAGTAGTCGACTATAATTGTTAGTAGTCGACTACACTATAAAACAAACTTTCTGTAAAATAAATTTCAAATCTCAGTAGTCGACTATACTTGCTTGTAGTCGACTACACTGTAAAACAGAAGTTTTGTAAATCAAAATTCAAAGATGAGTAGTCGATTATAATCCTTAGTAGTCGACTACTCTGTAGTTTTACATTGTAAATCAAAATTCAAAGATGAGTAGTCGATTATAATCCTTAGTAGTCGACTACTCTGTAGTTTTACAGAAACTTATATTTTGAACTTAGACTTAGTCGATTATAATCCTTAGTAGTCGACTACTCTGTAGTTTTACAGAAACTTATATTTTGAACTTAGACTTCAGTAGTCGACTACTATTCTAATTAGTCGACTACTAAGGGTAAAAATGTTATATATAAAATATTTTTTTAGACTCAATGATTAACTAAATACTCTAATGGTTAACATAGGGGATTTCTATTATTAACCAACACACTAAGCCTGTATTAGTATGTTCTAATTTCTATGTGTGTGTGTGAGTGAGCAAGGCTTGTACAATATTTCTAAGTAAAGAAAAACGTAAAAATTACATTGATGTATTTGTTCTTCATTTTTTTTACTTCATAATGTTTTGAACTCATCTTGCACTTGTTCATATTTAGTGTTGAAACTACATTTAAATGTTAGTGCATTTGTATAACACACATAGTGATTCACTTTATGAATAAATTGTTATCATCAAAATTATATCATGGGAACATGATATCCAACATTCTCCCCCTTTTTGATGATGACAAACAACTTATGCATATGTAAGTATATTTAAAAAATAAACTATTAATAAACAAATATACTTACTCCCCCTGCATAAAAGCATATTAGAGTTTACAATTCATATTTTTGAGTCTATAAAACATAAATTTTGAAAACATTCTCCCCCTTTGTCATTAACAAAAAGAAACACATATCTATCCTAAACACATCATAATTTCCTCTTCATGAGCTAGTACTTCAAATAGATCATCCAGATTATGAACATAGTCTATAACCTCACCCATCCAAATAGGTAGGCAAAGACTTCCCATAAAAACCAAAAGTTCCACAATGTTCATTATCATAATCTGTTTAAAATATATTGCAAATGAATTAACTAACCAATCACCATAAAAACAACATAAAATGCAGTCATATAAGAAACATAGTAGCAACATAACACATATTATATATGTCTTAAAAATAAATAACTACGACATAGTTTGGGACAATCAAACTTAAACATACCAAAATAAGACATAATTGTTTTGATAACAAACACAAAGTTCATCCAAATACTAAATGATGCATTCATAGTCTTCTAAGATGAAGGTCCTGGAGGAGGTTGATTTCCTTGGAAATATGCATTCAGCTTCATATCCAAATTATCAAATTTCTTTATTAACTCCTCCTAATTACCGATGATGTAACTATTCTGGGAATGAAGAGCTCGCTGACCAGTCTTTAACTTAAGGATGCATACAGACAAGGTTTTATATTGCACATCCGAGAAGCAAGAGGGTTCTAAGTGCATTTGTGGGGGTTGTTGACTAGATGAAGGGCCTGCTTGAGTTGAGGATTGTGGAATAACTTGTGGAATTTGTTCTTGAGGAGGTTAAGGTTCACCTTGAGGATTGTGATTATGAATTTCAAAATTTGTTA